ATTTCTCCTTTATATCTGAATAATAATTTCATCAGATATAAACTTTACAGTTTGCAGTCTTTTTTTTCCAGCACTTGAAAGATGTTTTAACTTCCTTCTGGCTGCTATAGTTTCAGATGAAGAATTGACTGTTGTTTGAATTGGTATTCCCCTACAGGTAATGAATCATCTTTCTCTGGTTGATTTTAAGACTGGTTCTTTGTATTTTGTTTTCAGAAGTTTAATTATGATATGTCCTAGTTTGGATTTATTTGGGTACTATCCTATTTGGAGTAGCTCAGCTTCTTAAATCTGTAGACTTATGTCTTTCATCAAATTTGTAGAGTTTTTAGTTACATTTATGCAAGTACTTTTTAGCCCTACACTCTTTCTCCCACTTCTGGAACTATTATACTAATGTTAGGTCTTTTGTTATTGTCCCGCAGATCCCTGAGGCTCTGTTCAGTTTTATTTCCCCCCAGTCTATTTTCTCTGTTTTTCAGATGAAGTAAATTTTGTTGATCTGTCCTCAAGTTCACTAGTTCTGTCCTCTGTCATCTCTACTATTGAGCCCATCCAACAAGTTTTTTAAAATTTTTATTATTGTGTTTTTCAGTTCTATACTTTCCATTTTAACTTTTTTTATAACTTCTGTTTCTTTGCTGAGATTTTTCTATTTTTTCACTTGTTACAAGAGAATTTATAATTGCTTATTGAAGCGTGTGTATGATGGTTGCTTTAATATCCTTGTCTGATAATCTAAAATCTGATTCATTTGAATATTAGCAGCTGGATGGCCAGATTCAGTTGTGATTTTTTCCTGTTCATGGTCTGATAGGTGATTTTCAATTGTATCCTAGATATTTTGGATATTATACTAAGACTCTTATCCTATCAATTCTATCTTAGTAGACAGTTGCCTTGCTTAGGTTCAACCAGTTGGTTTTGGCCTACTTGGTGGGCTGTACCTTTAACAATTTATTTTTCAGTGCTCTTACAGTTCCTCTATCCAGGTCTGCTTTGTTCTTTGACACTGCTGGGATTCTTGCTCAATCTATGCTGGTGTCACCTGCATAGGGAAAGACACCTTCCTGAACCACTCGTGTCACCGATCTGCCTTTCACTGCTGGGGGGGGGGCAGTTATGGAGACAAGCAATACAGAGCTTGGTTTGCCCTCTGCCACTAGGCAGAAGGCTGGGAGCTGCCAAGCCTAGGTCTCTTCATGCCACTAGGTAGAGGACCTGGAGACAGCAGGCTTCCTTGATGCCTGCCACTGCCCAGAGGTGTGATATGGGGTATTAGGGCACCTCAGTAGGCCTCTTTTCCTTCCCCTTTATCGGCCTTTGGTGAGAGAAAACAGGCTTTTCTCTGTTCTGTTTTTGGCCTATACTTGATGGTGGTTCTGTGATGCAGGTCTCTCCAGTGCCCAGTCCAGGCTATATGGGAGATAAAAAGAAAAACCAGGGAACTCACCTCAATGACCTTCCTTAAGTCCTGAGTTCCCTAGATAGTTCATATTCTTCTTTCTAGCTTTTAGAGTCCTTTATGAGTTTTTTCCAGGGTATTTAGAGGGGAGGAGCAGGGGAAAGTAAGGGAAGTCACCATCATGTCTGGAACCAGAAGTCACTTCAATAAATTTTTAAAATTTTCATAGGGACTTCAGAGTAATATATGCTATGAATGAATAATAGGTAATATACAACCCACTGTTTAATTATGCATTGTAAGTCATTAGAGGTAAGCATATGAGTGCAGAATATACATTCTTCTCAAGTGCACATGGGACATTCTCAAAGATAGACCACATGTTAGGACACAAAACAAGTCTTTACAAGTTCAAGAAGATTTAAATCATATCAAGCATTTTCTTGGACATTTACACCATGGAATACTATGCAGCTGTAAAAAAGAAGGGTCCCTTACCTTTTGAGACAGCATAGTGGGCCCTGGAGAGTATTATGCTAAGTGAAATAAGCCAGTCAGAGAAAGACAAGTGTCATATGATCTTACTCATATGTGGAATCTAATGAACAAAATAAACTGATGAACAAAACAGATCCGCAGACCTAGAAGCATGGAACAGACTGACAAATCTCAGGGGGAACGCAGGGATGAGAGGGTGGGTGGGGAGAGGTTAACCTAAGAAGTTATATGCATATATGCATTACCCATGGACACAGACAATAGCGTGGTGAAGACCTGCAGGGTGCATGCAGGGAGAAGGTGATCATAGGGGGAAGGGGGAATAGGACATCTGTAATACTTTTGACAATAAAGATAAATTAAAACATTAAAAAAAAAGGATATGGGTGAGTGAAGGCTAGAGGTTGAGGGTAAAGCTTCACATAGATGAAATAACTTAGACTGGTCCTTATTGCAGAAAGCAGCATCATACAGTTGAAAGGAACGGTATGAACTAGAATGAATATGGAAAATGACAGATTTGCCTATCTTGAGCAAAAATTATGTTAGGGAGTAACAAGAATAGAAAGTTGAATAGAGGGCCTTAAAGGCTAGAGTGAGACTTGATTCATTGAAAAATAGAAAACCATCCAAAAATTGTGAGGAGAGAAAGTGATTCCCAGTCAAGGGAACGTACCTGGATTGCAGGTTTGATCCCTGGCCCCTATTGGATTGCGGGAGGCACCCTTTCTCTCACATAGGTGCTTTCTCTCTCTCTCTCTCTCTCTCTCTCTCTCTCTCTCTCTCGCACTCTCTCTCGCTCTCTCTCACACTCTCTCGCACTCTCTCTCTCGCACTCTCTCTCTCGCACTCTCTTTAAAAATTAATGGAAAAAAATATCTTCCGGTGAGACCTTTTCTCTCACGCTGAAATTGGAAAAATGANGCTCTCTCTCGCACTCTCTCGCACTCTCTCGCACTCTCTCTCTCGCACTCTCTTTAAAAATTAATGGAAAAAANCTCTCTCTCACACTCTCTCGCACTCTCTCTCTCGCACTCTCTCTCTCGCACTCTCTTTAAAAATTAATGGAAAAAAATATCTTCCGGTGAGACCTTTTCTCTCACGCTGAAATTGGAAAAATGAATTGACATTATAGAGAGGCAGATTCTGGCTCAGCTTCAGGAAGAAATTATATCCCTGAATGTGTTCAAGCAAACACTGAACAACACATATCAGAGATGTATAGATGGATTCTGCCCTTTAGTAATAGGTAATAGTCTAAGTTCCCTTTCCACTATAAGACTTTTTTTTATAAGGCAGACCCCCATGAAAACTATATTTTATTAACACTGTTATTTATGTTACAGAATTAAGTCTGAAGGAGTTGGGCTATGCAATATCTTAGTTTAACATAATGTGATTTTTATTGGCTTCTTTAGTTATACTTCTTACAAATTGAGAGAACTTGCTAAGGATCACTGGTATAAGTGATTAGAATTAAATTGGAGGGAAGCTAAGCAGGTGTTAGCTATTTATTAGCACCTTGAAATAATTTAATTAGATTTTAAGAATACAATGAAAAGGGCCAGTTTTGGGGTTTTTTTTTTTATATGCATCATAGATTCGAGAGAGAGAGAGAAATATTGATGTGAGAAAAAAACATCAATCGGTTTCCCCAACTGGGGATCAAACCCGAAACCTAGGTATGCCCCCTGACCAGGAATTGAACCCACAACCTTTTGGCGTAGGGGAGGATGCTCCAACCAACTGAGCCACACCAGCCAGGGCTGGAATGACTCTTAATAGTATTTTGTTTTTCTAGAATTTATATTCAGCCTCCTCCTAGAAATACTTGGAAGCACCCATTTAGATTATGCTATGTAGGTGAGGAAAGAAGAAAGCTAAAAGACCTTCCTTCCCACATCAGTTCAGAGAGCCAAGTAATAAATCTTCGTAAATACCACTGTTGCTCAGAGGGAAATTATGCAGAGAAAGAACCTTTGTATGTAGGGGCACAGAGTCGTATAGTGAAAAAGAAGAGTATCTTTACTTAGAGGCAAAGAACCTAGGTTACTTCCTTGTGCTGCTGTTGGCCTGCTTTGTAACTTTTCACAATTCACTTAATTTTAGAAGACTCAGTTACTTCAGCTCTAAATCAGGGAATGAATCTTGCTTTGCCTTCCTCACATGGATGTTATAATAGTTAAATAACCTGGTTCTATGTGAAAGAACTTTTTGATCTTTGCCATACCTTCTCCATCTTTATCGCTTACACACTCCCACTCTCCCTCTTTCGCCAGAGCATTCAAAAGTAGGCCACAGCCATCAGGAATATGCTACTTTAATGATCATTTATCTGCTGCTCAAATACAGTAGAGCAACATGATTTTTGTAAAGTTTATGATATAGTTGGCACCAGCTGTTAGTGCTTATTATCTGAAGTCCTGGGTACATTTTATTGGAGGCAGGGATTCTCAGATTAAAGTTATCTTCTTAGCAATCCCTGTGCGATGCCTCCTAAACTTCCAAAATATGATCAGAGAAGGAATATTTGTCTACTTCCTGGTAAGTTTAAGACCCTAAAAACTAATGGCAGTGCTCTTCTTGAGTAAAAGTAGTTAAAATACTACATTTAAAAGAAGTCTTTGTTTTTCTATAACATGCTGAAATAGTCAAGTTTTATATTTTCAAGCAGTTTGGAAAAAAGAAAAACTTTTTATTATTTATTTATTTATTTAAACTATGTCTTTATTGATTTCAGAGAGAGGAAGGGAGAGGGAGAGAGACAGAGAGAAACATCAATGATGAAAGAGTCATTGATGGGCTGCCTCCTGCACACCCCCTACTGGGAATGGAGCCCACAACCAGGCATCATGCCCTGACCAGGAATCGAACCTCGATCTCCTGAATCATAGGTTGATGCTCAACCTCTGAGTTGCGCCGTCCAGGCAGAACTCAATATTTTTAATGGAACGTTTGTTACAATTTGAATATTTCATTGGCTAGAAGGCTTAGTTATTATGAATTGATACTATCTGATGGAAAATATGCCTATTGTAATGACTTAGTCTGGGTATGACTACAACAACCATAAAAGCTGTTTTCTTTTTTGTTCCAGGAGATTTTGATGAGTTCACTCAAGATAATAATGACAGTATGTTGAAAAACATAGCAGAAGATCTTCGGAATTGCTTACCTCTAGAAACCATGCTTTCCTCAGAACGTCTGGCTCTCCAAAAAGTAAATACATTATTATTCATTTACTCTTAGTGCTACTTGAGGATTCTCCAATTCTTCCCTAACCCCACAGCCTGTCTAGTCTGAGTCCTGAATTCTGCTTTAAATAATTTTTCATATGGTACTTCAACCACGCTCCCAGTTTTGAGTCTCTAATCCTCTGGCTCCTTAGTACTATTCATTCAACAGATATTTTTTGAGAGCATCCTGTTTGCCAAGCACTCACCACCCCATCCCACCAAAGTCAAGGCCCAATAGTAATCCTGTCCTGCCTACATCACTGTCCTGGGTTTCTCTTCTCCATTCCATCTCCTTTGCTTTTACCAATGGTGAAGGTTACCTTCTACTTTTGCATTGTACAGATTTTGCTTATTCTTCTATTCCTTTATTCCCAGAATTAGTTCTCACTTGTCTTCTCTAGACAACCGCTCATTCAGGTCCCTTCAAATCCCAACTCCTATGGGGTACATATGCTATAAGTATTGTTTCCTAAAGCAAAGCTAATGATAATCTCATCTCTCCCACTGATCTGAAAACTGCAACCCTCCATATGGTTCTTCAGCATGTAAGTTCCTAAGCAGAGGAACTAAATCCTTTCCATTTTTAACAATGCTATGCACATTGTGAACAGTTAGCAAATCTTAGTAAACATCTGCTCATGGAGTGCATTCTCAAAGGAGGAAAATAGTGAATAGTATTAGAACTGAGAGAAATATCTGTAATATAGTTTGGATGTTATTAATAAAACAGTCTTACCAGTATCATGATATACCACAATACATAAAATGAGGAAAAAGTATTCATTGCGTGTTAATGATTGACCCACAATTCCCTATCCTAACAAACTGTTTTTCTCTTCTTTTCTTTCCTTCTGGTCCTTGTGTATGTTCATACATTTTACATACTTGTAATATAGATTGTGTATGTGTGTGGATGTAGATACAATTTTGTAGGTTTCCAAACAGGTAGGTTGATACTTTACTGTAGTTGAGGTAGAGGGAATCAGACATTTTCTTTGTAGCCACTTGCTATTATATGTGCCACCAGTATTAAAGAGCCAATATTTGTAAGTATGAAGTTTTACTAACATTATTATTATTTGAAAACTGCCTGTAGGCAGAGATCACTTGCTAAGTATTTTGATGGGTAAGTCACTGACATGTAGAACTCAGAAGACTTGATAATAGTTTCCATTCTTACCCCTCTTACTAGCTACTTTCATTTCTTTGTAGAAATCTCTCTGGGTATCAGTTCCTGTATTTGTAAAATACACTACTTTGGATGGCCAAAATGGTCTCAAAATACTCCTTTCAACTAAAATTGTGTATGTTTTTCATAGCCATGTTTTGCATCGTTACAGATAAAATAAAAAGTTGGCCACTGACAAAATGACTTCCATTTGTTTGACTTTATTGAGACTCATTACCTGAATAAGCAGGTGAAATCCATCGAAGAATTGTTTGACCATGTAGATGGCCGCTTCTAATCTGGTGTGGCAGAGTATCTCTTTGACAAGCACACCCCGGGAGTCAGTGATGAGAGCTCAGCCTTAGGCTGGCTTCCCATACCTACAGGGGTGACTTCTCTGGTCACGAAAGCAGTACATCCATGTTGGAGTTACCTTTACCTTTTCTATACGTTGTACCAAATTATCCACTTATGTTCTTTCATTTATATCATTTCTTTGAATGAAGTAATTTGGTACCCCCACACCCCAAAAAAGTCTCAGAAATAAAATGAAAGAAGAGCAGAGTTGCTTACATAAGTGAAACTAGTTGTTCTGTGCCTTGTTGCTGGCAGAATTTTAGCATATGAACCACTGATGTTTTGCCTTATTTAGCAATAAAAAGAGACTTCTTTGTACTTTGTTTCTTTTGATGTGTTTCTTCTCTCCACCAGATACAGCAGCGTCCAGAACCCACAGTTCACGTTGATGCATTCCTTTATGATGAAGATGTTATTGATTCATTATGTGAGGAAGGAAAAATGAGCAGAAACTACTGTATGGTGTGTGGCTCACACCAGACTGCACCTTTAGGTCAGCAATTAAGTATGCAAACCTGATGACTTTGTGTCGACTTTTCCTTAGATGTCATGAGTATGCAAATCATTGACAAAGTCATTCGATGTTTTCTGAAAGCAAAAGACTAACCTACAGGATAGCCATTGCCAATTATTGCAGTTAGGGAGACTAAATAGAAATATTGTCTAAGGAAGTTAGGCCATTTAATGTCTCCCAGTAGGGTATCTCTATTTTTCACAGAAACTGTTTAGTCAGAGGTGACTTTTTAGGTCCAGAAACTAATCAGAAGGGACTGAGTACCGGGAAACTGACTCATCCTTTCCATACTCAAAAGAAATTCATATATAAACCATAATGCTGATTTATTCACAAAAGAAATATAATTATATTAGTTAAGTGTAGTCAAGGGGGCTGAAATGTTCTTCCTATGAAAACATCTGCCTGAGAAGTCAGATGTTAATCAGATATTGGTGGATGAACATGGACTCAGAGGACAATGATGGATAATCTTGAGAAGGAGTTTATTCAGGCCATGATTCAACCTAGTAGAGAATCTCCAGTCCATAACAGGGAACCAACTCTAGTGACAGAAAGTCTCCTGTGTCTCTGCCCCTCAGATGCAGCACCTGTGTTCCAAGTGGCAAACTAGACTGGCTCCATGCTGCTGCTATGTTAATTCTGTTAATACAGTCTTTGTTCAAACTGGGTATAATTGTCTAGGTTGTTACTTTAGACATGCTATTTCATTCTCCCTGCTACCTTAGGTTTATTGTGTAGAGTGAGCTATCCTTGTGCTTATATTACTGATCTTAGATAATATCATTCTCAAAAATTTACTACCAAATTGGTAATATGTTGCTAGTACAAATATATTGTACCTATATTATAACTGGGGATTAAACTTCCCTGATTTACTGGTTTCGGATTCTATTTTTAATTAGCACTTAATATGGTTTCCATTTGAGGTAGTTGAAACTCAGAATATAAAAGGACTTAGGCAAGAACAATAGAGGGAAAACTAAAAAGTGAATTATAATTATAACACCATATCAGATCTGATTTATTAAAATGTGTAGAAGAGCTATGTTCAAAAAATAAAAATTTGAAGATTAGAATGCATTTTCCCACAAAAATCAAGTTGTAAATAGTGACTAGGTATCCGTGCCAGCCCAGATAACCATAATGAACCTGAAAAAGCTATTACCATGTGGGACTCTCCCCTTTGTGACAGGGGGCTTGTCTAGCTACTAATGATGACTCTGTAGCCCAAGGCAGAAGCACTAATGTGGCACAGATGGTAGTGAAGGTGAAGATCCCAGGGCGATAAGGACTACAGTGGTCAAAGCGCCCCCCCCCCCAGTTACTTCTGAGGCCTAGGTATACCCTGCATTTTCATCCAGCTGATTAGCCTGCCTACTTCCATTTTCTTTGCCACAGCCTATTAGTTATGACCAATGTTTCTTTCCTTCCAGACCATTATGTTATGTAAAACACAGCATAGTAAGTCTTTGAGTTACCTCTGTATCAGAAATAAAAGGCAACGTACTCAGGCTCTCCCAGATATTTCATTACAGAAATAATGGAGTGAGAATTTGGGATAGGAGGCTAGATATCATAGCATTTAAACTAAGAGAAATAAGAACGATTTATGGGAGTATCTTAACCTCCTTCCATACCGCCCCTCTTCTGCACTTCAGAACACATTTTAGGTTGGTTGGGGCTGCCACATTGTGCAACTCTAAAGATAGTGATTCATTTAGTAGCCTATAGTCTATGCAGTAATCTGTGGCAGTTGTGTGGTTGCCTCTGGGGTTAGGTGAGAAAGCCAGATGGTATGGGAGTTAGGTAGCAATCCCAATGAACAGCAGGTCATAGGGAAACAAAGGAAATGAGAGGCGCAGAGATAGTGACAGGTAGCTGAGTAGCTGTTCCCTAGAGGCCTTTTAAAATGTGAGAGACTTCATATTTATTCTTCTCCAATACAACTCAGAGTGAATTAATTAAAAAATTATCACATTAATTTTTTTCTAAGTAACCTGTGAAAGGCTTTCATTGAGTAAGAAAATAAAAACATGAAATATTCTTTATAAATATAGGTGAAGGTTTAGGAATACAGAATGGAATTATTAGTACCCAAGCAAAATTTGATGTTCATTCTGTTCTAATTCTCCAGGGTTTATTTCTCATTCCTTCTCTCTCATGGAATTGAAGTTCATTTATCATCATGTACTCCCTGATCTGTCGGGAAAGCTCTTGGTTGACGTTGGCTCCAGGCTTGGCACAGTCCTTTATGGGGTAAAGTCCAGCTTGTGGACATACTCAACATTTAGAAAATACTTTCTTCTCTTGCTAGCAACAGTTTTGCCTGCCACCATCCAAGGTGACAGCTTGGTTTTATTTATTAGAGTAACAATAATAAAGTTAAAATAGTTATTGAATTTGGAATTTCAAAAGCCAGCTCTCTGATTTCCTTTATTAGTTTGTGACACAGATGAAGGAATATCAACAAAACAGAAACAGGCAGCCCGGCTGGCGTGGCTCAGCGGTTGAGCATCGACCTACGATCCAGGAGATCACGGTTCGATTCCCAGTCGGGGCACATGCCTGGGTTGTGGGCTCGGTTCCCAGTAGGGGGTGTGTGTGCATGAGGCAGCCGATCAATGACTCTCTCATCACTGATGTTTCTCTCTCTCTCCCTCTCTCTTCCTCTCTCTGAAATTAATACATATTTTTAAAAAAATGAAACAGGCAACTTACATAACACTTCGCTGCTTTATAGTCACCACTGCCCTTTTACCTCTGTTTTCTTTGTACTGTACTAAAATTGTATACTAGTTTTCATAAACACTCTTATAAAACTGGAAAGCTTACGTGTCCTAGGAAATTGTTCATGGCCATAAGCAAGGTACCTAACATCTCTGGGCCTCAAATTCCTCCCCTAGAAGTAAGCAAATGAATGCATCTTGCTCCAATTTTCTGTCATCCAAAATTTGAATGTAGACATTTGTTTCTGAAATATCACTTCAATGTGACTTTTTAAAAAATTTAAATCATGAGTATTTTTAATGTTCTTTAATGGTTTAATAAAAAAACTGAAGTGTGGTTTCTGGTTGTCATTAGCAGACTTGTTAAAACATGTGGCCAACAGCAGTAAAGGCTCATGCCAGAAACAGGCAGTCAGTTCCCAGCATCATTGCCAGCTCTAAACAGGAACAGTTAACTCTTCAATGCTTCATTTACTGTTCAGTGTTAAAACTCTTATTCTGTAATTAGGAAAAATAGCCATAAAGGAAAAGTACACAGTGGTCAGATGTATTGTTTGGAGAACTTTAGAGATTATGTTTGCCATATTTTGTCCACTGTTGTCCATTTGTTTTTTATTTGTTAAAAAAGTATATAGCTGAAATAATTGACTATGCAGGTATGTGGCAGCGTTAATTAATTTAAATATATTGTCATTTTTTCTTCATATTAGGTCACTAAATCAGTCAACAAAATTTGAATGCCTACATATGCTCTGTTGAACATATTCTAAAATCCATGATGAGCTATAAATATAAATTTGGTTTACACTTAGGTGTTAGTTGATGTAAAATGGTATTCAGAATATGATTTGACCTTTCCTTGTTTTGTTATTGAAACCAGAATAGATACATAGATACATAGATACATAGCAATATATAGTCAATTCTTGATCATTATTTTGGCAGATTGCCAGACACGAGGCTGACTTCCCTAAGCCAAACAGAACATAACCTCCAGCACCCTTCCTCTGTTGTCAGACTGCATGATTTTCTAATTATAGTCCCCACAGGTTTACTCCTTTCTTGTTTTACCCTCTTGCAACTTCCAGTGAAATTACAGAAATAGGGTACTAAATGGAGAATCTATATGTGATCACTTTTGTTGAGTACTCAGTTTTATCAGAAAAACTAAGAAATTAATTTTTAAAAATATAATAACTTCTAGATAATAGAAATTAATGAACTATAATCAAGTTCTTGATCAATAAGTCTTTAAGTTCTTAAAGTTGTAAATTTTACATAAACTACAAGGTGTTATTTATCTTTTATTTTTACTTTATCAAATTCTATTTTTAAAAGTTTGACTTTTTAAATTTCAAGTAGAAATAAACCCACAATGAAAAGTTAATTCATTTGCATCCTAATGTATTCTCATATTTTAGGGTTATCTTTACAGTTCAGCATTGCAACTATATGGAGTAGAATTGAACGGAGACTTTTGCCAGTTGCAGGAAATGATCATAAAAAAATACCATTTCACTGACAGAATAAAGGTACCCTTTAAAATATATATTCTGTTGTTCATTGTATAGCATAATTTAGCCAAATTTCTTCTGCATTGTAGTTGGAAAATCTTTTTGAATTGACTTTTGGTTGCTATTGTGTAGAAACGAATTTGAGTTGACTTAATATTTTAAAACATTAATAAAGATGAATTATTTTTATATTCCACTCACATATGTCTCTTCCTCCCCAATTTTATTAGAAAGTAGATTTTTTCCCCCTTAATTTTCTTCATATCAGTTATAGTATTGGTAGCAGCATTTTTGAATCTCTAGATGTTGGGAAGAAGTATATTTAATTAAACTCTAAATGTAGAAAGTACGCAAAAAAGTTAAGTAATGCTCACAGCTCTTTTATCTTCTGTTTTGTAAGCTTTCAGGAGGAATTGTGGATGCCACAGAATAGCAGTTCATAGGAAAAAGATGCCCTACGTTGGACTTCAAAGTTTTGCCTTTTTCTTATATGTCAGCAATTTTCAGCCTTTTTCATTTCATGGCACACAAACTAATTACTAAAATTCTGTGGCACACCAAAAAATATATCTTATTTTTTGCTGATCTGACCAAAAAATAGGTATAATTTTGATTGATCTACAAATAATAATAATAATAATAATAGTAATTACTTACCCTTTTTGCTCCAAAGTGACTTTTAAAAAAATCAGGTGCTGCTCTAGCTGGTTTGGCTCAGTGGTTAGAGCATCGGCCCGCAGACTGAAGGGTCCCAAGTTCGATTCCAGCCAAGGGCACATACCTTGGTTACAGGTTCCATCCCCAGCCCCGGTCGGGGCAGGTGCTCAAGGCAACCAATCGATGTGTTTCTCTCACATCAATGTTTCTCTCTCTCTCTCCCTTCCATTCTCTCTGAAAAGCAATGGAAAAAGTATCCTTGGGTGAGGATTAAAAAAAAAAAATCAGATGCCTATACTTGTATATAAGGATTTCTGGTACCAAGAATTAACCAATCAGATGCACCCTTATTATGTGACGTGACCAGTAAAATGCATCTCTATTATATGACCTATATATTTATAGTTCAAGACGGCATTCACACCAACAACTATTGTTGGCTGTTGTCTTTTTTATTTTATTTGACAATATAAGGGGAAAGAAGTCAGTGCCCCTGACTAAATAGTCAGGGAGTGCATGTTTTAAAAATTCTTGTGGCACACTGGTTGAAAATTGCTGCTGTATATAAAGAGGAAAATAACAAAAAAGGGAAAGGAAGTTTTTTGGTTAATGAAGTGATCCTTATCATTTCGGTAATGATCCTATATTTTTAATGGCAATCCAGAGAAATATTGAATATCTAATGAGATCTGGTGTTAAGGACAGTCTAATGTTGAAAGTCGTATCTCGGTAAGATTAAGGATCTAGCCTTGCCCTTTTATATAGAAGGAAATTTCTTCATTTTTTTCTCTCCTTCCATATTTCCTTCTCTCTCTTTGTCTCTCTCTCTCTCAATTTAGTAGAGAGGCAGATGATCAAAGCTAATCCATTGTCCAATAATAAATTCATGGATTTTTCTCACTATCCCATGTATATTGAAGCAAAACACAACTTTTGCATAATAGGAATCACATAACAGGAATATCAGTTTAATTGGAAGTGAGATTTAAAAATGAGGACCTCTTAATCATAGTTTATAATTGGACAACCAAGTACTTTGTTATTTTTTAAAAGAAAATGTTAAAGGTGTATAAAAGAAATATTTATCAGCATTTTAAAAGATATTTACCCCTTGCTTTTTTTTTTAAACATATCTTTATTGATTTCAGAGAGAGGAAAGGAGGGGGAGAGAGAGAGAGAGAAACATCAATGATGAGAGAGTCATTGATCGGCTGCCTAGCCCGCAACCCGGGCATGTGCCCTGACCAGGAATCGAACCCCGATCTTCTGGATCCTAGGTCGATGCTCAACCACTGAGCCACGCCTGGCCGGGCTACCCCTTGCTTTTCAAAGGAGTATATAGGTGCATACCCATGCACATACTTTCCCAGCTTGTGGCTTCTGTGACCATCAGCAACCCTTTCTGTGGTAGAAAGCTATTTTTATACCATTTATTGCCAACCTTAACAGGTAGTTTCCTTTTGTGAAACTAAAGACAAAAGTTAGATTTGAGGGACTCTAAGACAACAGAAAGGAATTCTAGGGTTTGTGGGGGGGTTTTATAGTATCTGTTGAAATCAGCCTTCAAGGCTCAGTCTTTGCTTTTCTGTTTTTTTGGTTTTTTTAACAGGAATCCTTTGTTGTCTGTTCATACTTAGGGAGAAACAAAAGTGCTGATTGAAGTTCTTGTTTTTATTATTGAACTTATTGGGTTGACATTGGTTGAAGTTCTGATTGAAGCACTTGAAGTTCTGATTGAAGCACTTGAGAGCACTGTGGGCTTCACTGTTGAGTGATCTCATTTGGGTAATTAATTTGTTGGAGAACATCTGATGAAATATCTTAAGATCTCCCCTCTGTGGCCCATCTGATTGCCCAGAGAAAACCTTTCCAATCTCCTTACTGAATGGCAGGCAACATCCTGGGAACTGAGTGGTAGCAGAAAAGAACTTGAGAGAGGTGTGGGGTTCTCAATATCCTGTCTGCATATTTCCTTTGTTTTCAGTATATTATCATTTCCTTCAACTAGGGCTGGTGTCGCCTGGCCCAGAGACCTTCTGTTTTTCCCTTTCCAGAGAATAAACTTCTGTTCCTTTGCTGGGGTTGCAGAAAGGTATATAGGGAACTGGCTGTTTCTTAAACGAACTTTCAACTAAATTATTTTTAGCTTTTCTTCTTACTCCTTCAGCCAGAGATATCTGGTACCACCAATTATGAGCCTTTTGAAGATTCTGTAGTATAAATCACATTTAGGTCTTAGCTTTCTGTATTTCTACCTTAAAAATCAATTTTCTCAAATCTCCTAAATTCCTTATTACATCCCCCTTTTTTTTCTAACATAAATTTTATGTATTTCTATTGCCATTCTTCCCATCCTTGGAGAGTATACCTTATATTTAAAAAACCTGTTGTTATAATGGGGTTTCAGGGAAGTACAAGAGTATGTACATGTGTCATACCCATGAAAGACCCATTGATTTAAATTCTTCTTTCTTCCCTTTCCTCCAGGCTATAAGTAACCTTTCCTTCATTCATATCCTGTTGTGTGTTTTTTTGGATGGCACTTTATATAGAGTTACTGGCATAGCTGTTTCATCCCGTTACTAGATGATAACGTATTTGAGAGTAGATATTATATCTCATTCATCATGATATATCTCCCTGCACGGTATCTAGTATGTAGGAGATGGCCATTTCGAAATTGGTTAAATTTATTTTGATTGCTTTGTGGTCTCTGTTTTTAGCATTCCAGTTTGTCCAGACCATTTCTGGGGTTTCCCTGGAACCTCTAGAGCAAGCACCTCTTTCGTTTGCCATAATTAATTGATCCACCTGATTCTTTTTTAACTTACCTGTGGGGTAGAGATGGAGGGAGTGAACAGAGATGGGAAAGAAAAAGAGGAAATTGTATGAAAGCTATGTTATATCAATAAGGTTAATTTACATAACCTATTTTATATCTAAGTTACATATTTAGAAGTTTAAAGTGATTAACTATTTTTTTCTGTTTAGGAACATGTCCCACCTATGCTTCAGAGGTTCCAGACCATCTTAATTTAAATTATTTGAGTATTTTTATTACTTAAAAAAGGAGAAAGTAATTTTTAAAATCAGTCCCCACAATATTCTGAATATTTTATATTTGTAAGACCAAGTGTTTATTTGGAAAGAAATCATGTGATACAAAGTAGTTAAACTTTTTCTCTTTAAAATAAAATTTGTTTGCCCTGGCCAGGTGGCTCAGTTGGTTGGAGCATCGTCCCATGCACCAAAAGGTTGTGGATTCAGTTCTGGTCAGGACACATACCTAGGTTGTGGTTCGATCCCGATTGATGCTTCTCTCACACTGATGTTTCTCTTTCTGTCCCCCCTTCCTCTCTTATCTAAAATCAACAAAAACATATCCTCGGGCCCTAGCTGATTTTGCTCGGTGGTTAGAGCATCAGCCTGTAGACTGAAGTGTCCCAGGTTTAATTCCAGCCAAGGGCACGTACCTCAGTTGCAGACTCGATCCCCGCCCCAGTAGGGGCCCATGCAGGAGGCAATCAATTGGTGTGCCTCTCTCACGTCAGTGTTTCTTTCTCTCTCTCTCTCTCTCACTCTTTCTGAAAAGCAATGGAAAAAATATCCTTGGGTGTGGATTAAAAAAATTAAAAATAATTAAATAAATAAGTTGTTTGCTTTGTTCTTGAGCAAATAAATGTTTCTTTTTGTTATATTGCTTATAGTCTGTAAGACTTGATGATTGTGGTCTAAGTTAATTTTTTGAGGTGTATAGATTTTAAATAAATTATTTTGCTTTTTTTCCTAGTGTATTTTAGATGAAGAGTCAGACAAGGCCAATTAGCATAGTGTTCACATTTTGTAATTTATAAGTTACTTTTATAGTTTTTATGGTCCCATTTGACCTATGAATCAGGACAGATACTATTCTATTTTATTTACGAGGACCCTGACTACCTGAGTGTACAAACTTCGTTGATGATGGAGCCAGAGCTTGATGACTCTTACAACCAGTGATATAGTCTCCCCTTATCTGTGAGGTGTATGTTCCCAGACCCCCAGTAGATGCCTGAACTCTATATATACCGAACTCTATATATACTATGTTTTTTCCTGTACATACATACCTATGATAAAGTTTAATTTGTAAATTAGGCACAGTAAGAACTTAACAACTAATAATAAAATAGAACAATTATATTGTAGAAAAACTTATGTGAATGTGGTCTCTCGCTCCAATAATTTTTATATTTTTCTCTACAAACCATCCCTAACTTGCAGTAAATGGCTTGGTGTCACTTGTTTCAGGGGATCACTTGCTGAAGTCTTTGTATAGGCTCAACGCTTTCTGGCACAACATATTGCTATCATGGGAAGACATTTTCTGTTGTGTCTACCACCCACAAATGGAATGACTTTTCCCTATTAACTGAGCACTGAACATGCACTGTGGCCATAACATTTGCACTTTGAGATGTGACAAAACTAGCATGAATTTCTTTTTTCTTCACAATCTCATACATAGATTTGTCCTTACCATAGATCTGAGCAACATAAGCATATAATTTCTTTCTTTCCTTATTAAGTCTAGAACTTTCACCTTGAAGGAAGTATTTTAGGGCTTCTCTTTGGTATATCTGAATTGCCAGCATCTCTACTTTTGCACTTTAGGGCCATTAGTAAGTAAAATAAGGGTTACTTGAACACAAGCACTGTGATACCACCACAGTCAGTCTGATAACCAGCATGGCTACTTGCTGTCCAGTGGGCGGGTGTCATATGCAGCGTGGAGATGCTGGGCAGGGGGGTGATTCACGTCCGGGCAGGATGGAGTGGGACAGTGTGAGATTTCATCATACTACTTACAGCAGTTCACAATTTAAAACTTATTATGAATTATTTATTACTTGGGTTTTCCATTTAATTTTTTCAGACCATGGTTGACCACAGGTAACTGACACTGTGGAAAGCAAAACGATGGAAAAAAGCTCTGAACTGGGAGTGAAAAGAGCATACTTATGACTACATAAAAAATTCCCTCTAAAACAAACAAATATTCACAAGTTTATGGTTTTTATTAGATATTATCTCCCCTAGGTGGTAATATTAAATATACTGTACTTTGTCCTGTTTTAAGAATGGTTAACTTGACATATTACCTCACAACATTATTGAGCTGATAGGTGGTTCTTCGTGATTGTTTGAGGTGGTATCTTCTCTTAAATGAACTCATTCTTCTGTAGGTGCTTCATGCAGACATCTGTACCCAGGATTCACTTCTGCAAAATGCTGATGTTATTATAATGAATAATGTCTTCGAATATTTTCTGGATGAGGCAGAACAGACCAGGTATGTTATTATTCAAGTGAGAAGTCTGTTATCCAGCCAAGCATGAAAAGGGATTGGTAAAGTAGAAATGTCTTTATATTAAACTTTTAAAAAATGACCTCAACTGTGAGGAGATTATATCAAAAAGGAAATGTGTTCTTTATAAAACAAAAATAAAAATAAACTGTCTGACTTTGTAAAATATTACATCTCATTTTAGGCAGATATAAAATGATATCATGACCCAAGCATCTGCTTAGCAGTCAGGAATGAAACAAGGTATCAGTTCCTAGTGGGCCTTTATACATATTTTTTCTGCCTCATTGGTTTTTTTTCTTCTTAAAAAGTCATATGCTATCTTATCACAAAATGATGGGAATTAACTAATACCTATACATTAATAAAATAAGATATCAGAATGTTAACCAAAATTGTGATTAATTATCAACTTGAAAAATGTTATTAAGGGGTAACAAATAGTAGGTTCTTAGAATTGATTCCACTATTCAAGTAATGGAAAAATAAGCAAATCTGTGATCACTCTTCTTACTTTTCTGCTACAGTTTGATGCTTTGTGACCCATAAGGACCTATAGGTTCCTTTGATTAGAAAATTCCTGTAGTCTCAGACACTTGATTTTCTGGCTAGTTAGGCTTGCTGACTTCTTATTTATCATAAGGGCACATGGATACTCTAGATGCAGGAAAGCTCCTTTCCATAGGTATGAAAGAGAATTACACAAATGCTTGGATTACCTCAGAGAAATAAAAATACATAAAGTACAGACCATAAACAGTTAATACTAAGTGGGATCCTAAATGGCTAAACCTCTTTATTCTGCTCCCCCTTCACCGTCTATATTCTGCTCCCGACCACCACTTTCTCTCCCTCACATACACATGCATATAGTTCCCATTACTAGCAGGTTAAGGTCACTACAAAATTAGCACTTTAAATAGTTTAAAAAGAAACTGCTTCAACAGAAAGCTAATCATATAATCAAAGTTCGGCCAGAATGACTGACAAGTTTTGGTTACAGGCAACCACCAGAAACAAGCATGAGCAAAGTTGTTTTAATCATAATGCCCTCTTTAGGCTCAATTTCCAGTGGACAAAGTATGATTAGCTTTTTACCTTTTTAATTTAATAACCAGTAGCAAAAACATTACGTAATTGTTGGAAAATCAAATATTACCACGTTTATGTTGTATAAGAAGTTTTAAAACACTATAAACTCTTTGGAGATTTATTATAGAAAGATTTTGGATGCTGAAGAATGATGAAAGCTCCTGCTAAACTTGATACTGGACATACTGCATGTTTGTATTGTTTTAAAAACTCTCCTGGTACATTCATTCACAAACTCTACATGATTCACTGAGTAGATACTGGCCCTCTGTGTTAGTTCAGTCATTTTTCCTTAGTCTAGCACAGTGAATTCTAAATATAGATAGGTTATAGCCTCTCATGGTTAATTCTCTCATCTCCATCTTGAATGACAGTTCACAGGAGAAAGGGTAGTGGATATGATACTGGAATTGTTGTGACAAAACTGATCATTTACCCATATTAATTCTGCATTGTAGTTAAGTAAAAGAGAACAGATAGCACGGCATAGAGCCTCCAAAGATTTGTAACCTTAATCAGAATCTGAGGAAAAGTGGAATGGTACTGCTACAGGAGTTAGTATGTAAGAGAGAACAGAAACAGATCATCATAATAGAAAATGTGTGCTCAGGAAAGGCTCAGCCTTCAAAATAAGTTAGATCTTATTACAGGGTAACACCCAGATTGTAGATTAAGTATTAGTTTAAAAGGTGCCTCTAGCCCTGGCTGGCGTGGCTCAGTTGGTTGAGCGTCATCCTGTCCTGGTCAGAGTGTGCATGGAGGCAACTGGTTGATGTTTCTATCTCACATTAATGTTTCTCTCTCATGTCAATGTTTCTCTGTCCTTCTCCCTTCCTCTCTCTCTCAAATCAATAAAAACATTTTAAAAATAAAAATAAATAAAAGGTGCCTCTATGTATTTTTTTAGTAGGTGAAACAGATACAACTACTCCCATGACAGCTTACCCAGAATATTAAGTGCTATTTTGAGAGCCATGCCCAGTGTACTCAGCTTCTTCATTCTTATTAAACTTGCAAAACATGTCATTTTTAAGGAACCACATCAGAAAAACCAAACAGCTCTAGCCCAAAATGGTGATATTTATTATCAAACACTGCTATATGATTTTAGATCCATCCTGAGGGGGAAAAAACCATTTGTACCATTTTGCCTAGTGAACTCCAGAATGTACTAAACTTAATATCCATTGCTATAACTAAGATAAGGGCAAATGACACAGCTGCACACCTGCCCCACTGCAAGGGATGCTTATCTCTGCTTTGCTTGACCATTGCTCCCTAGTAGTGGGGTGTACTATCAAGACTCAGTGTAGAAATCCAGTTCATATCTGCATTAAAGATTAATCAGAACTGGTCAGACACTGGCCTCTGACACACACATGCACATGGCATTCCATCATGCTTTAAATCTAGCTGATCCCACTCAACTTCTCAGGTGCCAGACTGTCCAGAAGTCTTTCCATTGAATATTTATGACAGCTAAATAAAGTATGATTTCACTTTGGATTTATTGTTAGTTTTTGCTTGTTGTCTGGTTTCTATGGCCTTTCTCCACAACTCTTCCCCACCTCTACTCCTCATCCCAGTTCCCTTCTGCAGAACCATCTTTCGACACATTTTGTAAAGAATTTAAGGGCTTCTAACTGATGCAGCTTTGACTTCTGAGTCAGTTCTGACACTGAGTTTTGGCCTTACAGTGCCTTGTAGTAATCCAAATCACAGTCTTGTTAAATCTTGTCAATACTGTAACGTCACAATTTTGCCAGTACCCCTTCAGGAACTGAAGAGTTGACCAATTTCTCGTC